TCCTTCCTTCCTTCCTTCCTTCCTTCCTTCCTTCCTTCCTTCCTTCCCTCCCTCCCTCCCTCCCTCCCTCCCTCCTTCCCTCTTTCTTTCTTTCTTTCTTTCTTTCTTTCTTTCTTTCTTTCTTTCTTTCTTTCTTTCTTTCTTTCTTTCTTTCTGGATGGAGTAACACTTTGTCACCCAGGCTGGAGTACAGTGGTGTGATCTCTGCTCACTGCCACCTCCGCTTCCCAGGAGGAACTTTATTAGGGTGAAGAAGTTCCCTTCTATTCCTATTTTGCTGATTGTGTTCATAATGAAAGGGTGTTGGAGTTAATCAGATGCCTTTTCTTCATTTACTGAGATAATCATGCAATTTTTGTCTTTTATCCTTTCAATATGGTGCATTTCGTTGATTGATTTTCATATGTTAAACCAACCTTGCATTTCTTGGATAAATCACAGTTGGTCATGATGTATAATTTATTCTATACCTTGCTGGATTTAGTTTTCTACCATTTTATTAAGGGTTTTTGCATGTATATTTATTAGGGATATTGACCTGTATATTTCTTTTCTTGTGATGTGTTTATTGACCTTTGGTATTAAGGTAATATTGGCTTTACAGAATGAATTGCTATGATTCTACTTTGATTAAGGTAAAATGCCAAAGTAAAAAGTTGGATATGTGATTTGCATGGAGATTACCAACTTTGTTTTCTGCCCTAATCACCACCTAAGGACCTAGTTCATAAATGGGTAGTTCTGGGCTGAGTGCAGTGGCTCATGCTTGTAATCCCAGCACTTTTGGAAGCTGAGGTGGGTAGATCATTTGAGCCCAGGAGTTCAAGACCAGCCTGGGAAACATGGTGAAACCCTCTCTTTACAAAAAGTAAAAATAATTAGCTGGGCATGGCAATGTTCACCTATAGTCCCAGCTACTTGGGAAGGGAGATACACAGAGCCAAAAAAGAAAAGACATGGTCCCTACCAAAGGAATAAGCTTTTTACCCTGACATGGTTCAGAGAGATGAAGAAGGTAGGGAGGAGAATAGAGGCAGGCATTATCAATCTGTCAGAGTAAGTAAAAAGGATTTACCACTCTAATACTCTGATAGGTTTTCTGCAGCCTCCTATATGAAGAAATCACATTCATGTCTTCAATCTATCTTTTCTTAGGTTTTCATTCAAGTTATCCTAAACCATCCACACTATTTTTCAGTCCTAATTTGAATGATCAAAGATACAATTTATATTAAGGCACTGATCTTGATGTCTGCATTGGATTAAAGATAGCCACAAATTTCTTGACAGTCTTCCCATAGAGAAGCTGGGTCTATCTCCAATTCCTATTCCCCAAATCTTAAGTGACTTATAGCTGCTTTAAGTTAATCTAATTAAATCTAATTAGGGCATTAGACTTCATAGTCTAGTCAGCTTCATTATAGAAGATAAATAGAGTATGACAGAAGTGACGTCAAGCTTATTCTAGGCCTATGGTCTAAAGAACTTGCAGTTTCCATCTTGGTTTCTTGGAGCTCTGAGTCATCATGTAGAAAGTTTGACTATCCTGGAGAGACCACATGGGATTTCCAAGAGTTACTTAAAGACAGAAAAGTTCAGCTAGTACAGCCATTCCTGCCAAGGCACTAGACATGTGAGTGAAGTTGTTCTGAACCCTCCATACCGGTTAACTGAATATCACTGAATAACATCAGTTAATACCATTTAAAGTAGAAGAATTGCCCACCTGAGCTCTCAACAAATTGTGATCCGCAGAACCACGAGATATAATAAAATGGTTGGTTTTAAGCTGCTATGCTCTGAGGTAGTCTGTCATACAGCAATGGATAACCAGAAAAATGCCAAACCATAAGTATATTTCAGAACGTTATTTTAAATAAAAATAATTCATGTATGTGACAAAATAAAACAATACATATATAAAGGTCTAAAACTTAAAATCAGTCTTTTTTCTGACCTCAATCCCATTCCCGAAAGTGACCATTAAGTTCCTTTTATATTCTCCAGAATTTTTAATAAATACAACACATTTTTTCCAACTGGGATCATATTATCTAGCTCTCTATCTAGCTAGCTAGCTACACTGTTCTGTACCATGGATTTTTCACTTATTCATGTCTCTTGAAAAGCTATCAATGTTTATAGATCTTCCTTCTATATTTTAGGTATGCCATATTTTTCCATTGTAGGGATAACATGCTCTGTGAGGGCATAGATTTTTGTCTGTGTTGTTTATTGCTATCTCCCCAGTGCCTGCTTAAAGAGTACCAAATAGTACTGAATATTTGTTGAATGATTGAATCATGATTATTAACCACTTCTTTATGGATATTTAGGTTGCTTCCAGTTTTTGGCTTTTCCAAAACATATTTCAGGGAACAACTTTATGTATATGTCTTAGCGTACTAGTTTATCTGTAGGACAGATTCTTAGGAGTGGAATGATTGGGTTAATGGTTATTTTAAATTTTCAGAAGTCACTGGTGAATTAAATTCTCTCCAAAGAGACTGCACTAAGTTATTCTCCAACCCACAGTGTGAGTTTGCCTGATGTCCCATAGCCTCCTCGGTTTTGTGGATTGTCAACATTTCAGTTTCTTCCACTCTGGTATCTTCTTTTAATCTGCATTTCAATAATTATGAAAAGGAGTAAATAACATTTCATTTTTATTGCTCATTTCAAATAATATATTCAACCCCAGCAACTTTAAAGTGTAACAGTGTCTATTTACAATTACAATTCTTTAAAAATCCTTA